TTTTATTTACTTTACATACAACAATAGTTTAGTTATATATTATAGACTTATAGAAAGAGACCTTCTAAAAACGTTAAAATGTATGACTGGCACGCGAAACCTTAAACTAGAGTGAATAAATGAAGACTCGGCACACCACTTCTGAAAGGTCGCCGACCCCTGATCTAGTCAGACCTCGTGTGTAACACAGGACATCCCCAAAATATTCCTACTGCAGATCCTTTAGAAAAACATCCAATCTTGATTTACACATTGCCAGTGATGGAGGATCCACCATGACCTTTGGTAAATTGTTCTAGTGGTACCCGGTTGCCACTCATTTTCATGCACGCCGGGAATCCATTTGCAGTAGGCTTTCAACGCCAGCATGCAGAAATTGAGACGCCGAGGGCTGGGATATTTCGGCCTGTCTCTAGAAGGAATGGACGTGGGGTGCCTTTAAATCTCACACACCCGCCAGCCCCAGCACTGCTGAAGTAGCTTAAAAGAAAGTCACTGACACATCTTCACAATCAGCAACGAAATACTGTACCTGGACTACAGCAGCCGCCCCTCCCAGCGGCCTCATCATACAGGATGAGTCAGAGAGCCCGGCTTCACACAGAGAAGAGCAACTCGCATCACAGCTGGTCTGTGCAAACCCTCCCGCACAGGGTTGGAGCTTTTAAAAACATAGCAAATATACACAAGCTCCTGGAGAGGCCAAAGCAAACAGCAGCCCTGCTAAATGGGCTCCCGAACTCCCGGCAGCTGAGCACAGGCAGACTTGACTAGCTACTTGCCAACCAGGTCACAGGACCACAGCATGGCATCATTAGTGCAAGTAAGCGTGCCCCTAACCACTGATTGCCAAGCAATCTGCTGCATTGGCCATGTACATACACCGCCACAGCAATATTTACCCCGTCATTAAAAGGCCATTTCACTATCGTTACCAATACACGAGAGGTTTTAGACTATGGAACGTTGCCCCAGGGCTGCTACCTACCAGTCCGTCTCCGCTATTGAGATGCAGATTCTTGGGCTGCTTCATTTTGTCCTATAACCTTTTGTTTTTTGTTTTTTGTTTTTTTTTTGCACAGTGTGGGGAGGGAGGGAGGGACAGGAGAGAAGAGGAAGGATGGTCCCGTGCTGAAGGGACTCAGGAGTGCAAGTCCAAAATTCCCATGTAACCGCCCTATGCAACCTGTCCTGTGTCTCAGTTTCCGGTCTGTAAAATGGGGATAAATACTGCTCCTTTTCAGCCACTCTTTGTCATGTCTATTTAGGCTGGAAGCTCTTTGGAGGCGAGACCGACACATACTGTGTGTCTGTGGAGCACCCAGCACAACAGGGCTCTGATCCTGGTTTGGGGCCTCTAGGTTTTGCCTTACTAAAAATAATAGATGATCATCACATTCACCTGGGCACTAAAGGGGGGAAGGAGACAGGTGGCAGGAGGGTGAGAGAGCTTTTGTCAACGTTCTCTAGGCATTTGGGGCAAGTGAAAGGTGCTGACAACTGGGAGACTGGCGATATCTAGCGGCAGACCAGTACAGCCCCAACAGCTGCTCTTTGCCTCCATCCGCCCCACTGTCCTGTCCACCTGCCGCGGTGCTGTTCTAAAGGGACCACTCCAGGTTGCTGGTTCCAATCCAGCCCTAGCCAGCGGTGAGCGAAACTCACTGCTGCCTGGTGGAGCTGCAGAGCTCAGTCTCATTTCCAGTCACGACAGCAGGTGCGTTACAATAATCCTCGCGCCACCTCCTCTCCCGCACTGAAGTGGTGTTTCAAGGACGTTACACATCATGCAGTAAGTGGGAGACAGTGAATAAACTGTCCTATGGTCCACAGCCTCTCAAGGGCGTGAGCCACTCCACTGTCCCTCAGGGAGATGCCAAGCTGGTCCCTGGCTGGTGTCAATGGAAGTGACTCCCTCGAGTTCCCTGGAGCTGAATCCATTCACACCCACTGAGGGTCGGGCATGATGTCTTGTCTGCTCCTTTCCCGGGTGGCAGTCCTAGCAGACTTTTAGAAAGCACCAGGAGCCGACACCACCCGTCTTGGGAAATAGTTTGTGTCTCGGCAGGAGAGGCTGTGATGTCTGGTGCTGTTCTGGAGCCCATAATGGCTGTCAAATCCACCTATGTAACCCTGGCCCTACCAGCCTCTTTCTCTGTACTTTCGAAATAGCTCAACTATGTCAGGAGCCACATTAGACTCATAGACTTTAAGGTCAGAAGGGACCATTATGATCATCTAGTCCGACATCCCGCATGATGCGGGCCACAAAAGCTGACCCACCCACTCCTGGAATAATTCTCTCCCTTGACTCAGCTGTTGAAGTCCCCAAATCATGATTTAAAGACTTCAAGTCGCAGAGAATCCTCCAGCAAGCGACCCCTGCCCCATGCTGCGGAGGAAGGTGAAAAACCTCCAGGGCCTCTGCCAATCTACCCTGGAGGAAAATTCCTTCCCGACCCCAAATATGGCGATCAGCTAAACCCCGAGCATGTGGGCAAGATTCTCCAGCCAGACCCTCCGGAAAAAGTTCTCTGTAGTAACTTTTAATATCCCATCATTGACCATTGTTACTAATTACCAGCAATGGCATGTTATTGACCTATTGACTAAAATCACTTTATCCCATTAAACCATCCCCTCCATAAATTTATCAAGCTTAATCTTAAAGCCAGAGAGGTCTTTCGCCCCCACATTAAATGCTGTTCTCGTCTCAGATAAACCCAGGGTGCCACCTGCAAAGATCCTTAACTGCAGAACATATGCACTCCCGGGCTTGAATGACGTGTCATCTGTGAGATTGAGGAGTTGTCATTTGCCCACTGCTGGGATCCTTTTAACTAGAAATAAACACAACAGAGAAGGCAATTTCCAAGTTTCAGCAAAGAGACGAGCTCTGGCATCAACCTTTTTCTTTTCCTTAAAAGAAACTGCTCCCAGAGCCCTTCGAAGCAAGATTGGCGATGATTCGGTTTCCCAGTCCCTGCACTAGCTCTTAGAAAATGACAAAAGAGGCACAGATGACCCCAGAATTAACAGTTACATTTACATTGTTTATTCTTTGGTCTGATGATGATGACGACGACGACACCACCACCACCTACCTCTTATCTAGCACTTTTCATCAGCAGATCTCAAAGCACTTGATCCATTTCACAGATGGGGAAACTGAGGCACAGAGCAGGACAGTTACTTGCCCAGCGTCACCCAGCAGGCCCATGACAGTGCCAGGAACTGAATGCAGGTCTCCTGAGTCCCAGTCCAGTGCTCTATATACTGTTGCCAATATAATAAATACACTTACACAGCACTTACCGTCAACATGATTTACAAAACACTAACAAAGGGATCATCGATATTAAGAGACTCCACACAGCTCTTTATAGCACTACACTGGAGGCATAGGCCCACTTTGTTCTGTGTCTGGAATTCCTCTCCCTACAGTTTCCCTTTCAACAGGAAGTTGTGCTACTAGCTGATGTATCTATGCAATCACTTCTCAAAGCAGAACCCAGAGAGCTTAACCTAGTGTCTACGTGACACCCCTTCCCTCCCATTGTTGCTTTATTTCTGACAGCCCATAACAAAGCCACCACCTCAGCCAGTGCCCCATACATCATGGCTACTCACTCGGACAAAAGCCAGAAGCTCTGAGCAGTTTCCCCCGAATTCTTGACCACATGGATTTTTAGATCTTCTATGGCTTGGTCAAATGCTCCTGGCTAGAAAGGGAGAACATCAGAAAAGAACAGTAAGATAAACACGATGGAAAGAAATTACAGCTCAAACACACACGCTCCTCTTATTCTAATCCAAGGCTAAATCCACACAGGTGTCTCCTTCAAAGAAAAGTATCACATCTCAAGCCTCAGAACTATGGGATCTATTCGTAACATGGTTTTTATTTGGAAATGACTCCGTCATCTGCCCTCTGTCGGCCTTCCAGGGGGCGGGGGTTCATCTTAGATACACAAGCTAATTGTGGTATCCTTATTGTCCAGTTGTTTGAGGGTCCATCATGAGGTGACAATTATTCCTGCTCTGAAAAAAAACCAGAATATTGTTCAAACAAGAACAGGGCTTTCAAAACTACCAAAGTAACCACCCAGATGCGTGTGGAGGGAATCCAAGATGGCAGCTGGTGTTGGGGCGGTCTCACGGGTTAATACAAAGGCCGTCCATTGGTTTATGGAAGTACCGCACATTTCAGTCGATTCGTTCGTTTGTGGGAGCATGTGTCCGTCTGCCTGTGTGATTCCACTGACTTCAGTGGGGGTACTTCACATTTACATGGGTATAAACAACATCACATCCGGCCTATATTACTTGGGTCTTTAATATTTGTGATGGGGACACAACAGAAACGGAGGAAGGTGGTAGAGACCTGGTATTTCATCACTGGGCGTGTGAGGCCGCAAATGGAAACTCACAACATGAGTTCCATCTTTTCTTCTTTAAAATGAACAGGAAACTGCCACTTTCACATGGTTTCAATATAAGCCCATAAACCAGCCCTGGTCCACTTGAAAAATCCCTGAGCATCAGCAAACCTTAGCTGTGTATCACGCACCACCAGGAGAGTCTCACATGGTTTCACCTTTCCTAACTTAGCTTTTTCACAGCACTGGTCACCTAGCTCTGCAAGGCCGCTGTTACTTTGGAAAGGAAGCAGCCCAAGGGACCAGAGAGGACAGGGGGTCTGATCGTAGGCACCAACTCCATGGATGCTCTGGGGATAGAGCACCCAGAGAAAAAAATGGTGGGTGCTCAGCACCCACCGGCAGCCCTCCCGATCAGCTCCTCTCCCTCCCCCCAGCACTTCCTGCAGAAGGCGCTGGGGGGAGGGGGAGGAATGGGGGACTGGGCAGGCACACTTGGGGGAGGGGGCGGGAAGAGGTGGGGTGGGACTGGGGGCTTGAAGGAAGGGGCGGAGTGGGGGCAGGGCTTGGGATGGAGCAGGGGTTGAGCACGCCTCCGGCAACTCATAAAAACGCCATCTATGGGTCTGATGCAACTGAGTTTGACTGGCAAAGCCAGCTGGTCCTTCTACTGAAAGTGCATTATCTGTAAAGGTGCTCGGTGCCCTCACCCCTGAAGTCACTTTCCAGGATCAGGCTCCAAGGATCTGATCTAAAGTGCAGTGAAGTCAATGGGAATCTTTCAATGAGCCTCAGCCAGTGCTTAATTTGTAATGAAAGACGTGCCAGGGCTCAAGCAATTTTTTTACATTCATAATTGATGCAGTCAGCTCAGAGGTGCCGGGGCTCTGAACCGCCAGGCCCCGAGGTGCCGGGGCTCTGAACTGCCAGGCCCCGAGGTGCCGGGCTCTGAACTGCCAGGCCCCGAGGTGCCAGGCTCTGAACAGCCAGGCCTGGCGGTGCCGGGGCTCTGAACCTCCAGGCCCCGAGGTGCCGGGGCTCTGAACCACCAGGCCCCGAGGTGCCGGGGCTCTGGGCCTGGGCTTAATACCAGGGAGGCTTAGAGCATCTGCATTATTCTGAAAGAAAAGCCTGCTCAAGATGGCAGCATGAAAAGCCAACTTGCTCCATGAGCTACCTTGATTTCATAGAATATCAGGGTTGGAAGGGACCTCAGGAGGTCATCTAGTCCAACCCCCTGCTCAAAGGGGGGCCAATCCCCCGACAGTTTTTTTTTTTTTAACTCCAGTTCCTTAAATGGCCCCCTCAATGATTGAACTCACAACCCTGGGTTTAGGAGGCCAATGCTCAAACCACTGAGCTATCCCTCAGGGAGATGTGCACCCTAGGAGCACCGTGCCTGGTTCAGACCTCAACGGGGAGGGGAAAGGGTTGACAGCATGCAGGGAAGCTTGGTGTCTATATGAGCCAAACGAGTGTCATACATGCAACTGCGTCTCAGAACACAATGCGGTGCCCAGAGCCTGCTTATTAGAGTCCTGCTGCCTACAATAGACTGCAAGTTATAAAAAGGCAACAGGGAACCGTTAATTAAATAGTAAACGATCAAATGGTTTTAGCTCCTTTCATCTGCATATAATTTACATTCTTAAGTTTAAATTTAGAGAGAATTTCCCCCCTCCCCTTCCGGCTTTCGGGTACGATAGCTCGTGGATGGCAATCTGAGGGGAACTTATAAATACATAGTCAGTGGAGATGAAGTATTGTTCCTTTTGTAAGACACTGCTTTGGATCAGCGGTCTCCGCCACCGAAACAATGCTCCTACTCACAGCATACCTCAAGTTATTAGCCCTGAGTGCTACTTTTCCATCCAGGAAGATTCTGCATTAAATAAGTATAAGAATTAAGGGCTCAATTAAGCCCAGTGGGAGCTTAAAGCGGTCAGCACCTCCAGGAGCTACTTAGGATCAGGGGCTAATAGCAAATGCGCTAAACAGTGGGTCGGAGATGGCCGAGGAAATATATTCCACAGAGTATATGCGCACTCAGACTTTGTAGCTACTAACGTTAAGGAAAGGGCTTGTCAGGTACTTTAGTTGGTGCCGCTTGCATCAGTGAATGATAATTTTCTAACATTTCCACTTAGTGGGTTCCTAGACTGAAGGGTCCTCCACAAATACAATAAATTCGATGGAGGCTTCTCTCCTTTGGGAATTTACTCCCTTTCCAGCCCATCGGTGGCTAGCGAAAGGAGTAGCTTCACCAATGCAAATCTCAAGTGTAGAAAAGCAAAGCCATAATTTGCACTGATGCAGGTTACCCAGGGTTCAAACAGGGGACCAGCTACCTCGGTACAAATTGTGGGTTTGTCTGCAAGGAGTTCTGGCCGCTGACTGATAGAACTGAGGCAAAGTCCCACATTAGACAAGGCCTTTGATTGGATAAAGCCCTCTCATAAGCTATTACTTCTCAGTTATCCTTGGGGATGTCACACAGTTGGTTACATCAAATTGAATTCCAGACTATACCCTCCAAACACTGAGGAAGTTCCGGTGTGAGCTATACCCCATGCCCATGTGCAGGGAAGACAGTTTATGGTGTGTGAGAGTTTCAGGTGGAAATCACGCATGCCCGGAGGAGACTAGACTCACATGCAGGTTTTTTCCCAATGAACCTAAATCATAGAGGGTCTGACTCAACTCCTAGCCACATAAAGGTAGATCACTCCAGATCTTCTTGGCAATTCAGGGACTGAATATCCAGGAGGAGAACCCAGGAGCCAAGCCATTCCGTGGGCAGTCTGTTAACTAAGGTCTGGTCTATACTACCCGCCTGAATCGGCGGGTAGAAATCGACCTCTCCGGGATCGATTTATCGCGTCCCGTCGGGACGCGACAATCGATCCCCGAATCGGCGCTCTAACTCCACCAGCAGAGGTGGTAGTAAGCGCCGCCGACAAAAAGCGGCAGAAGTCGATTTTGCCGCCGTCCTCACAACGGGGTAAGTCGGCTGCAATACGTCGAATTCAGCTACGCTATTCACGTAGCTGAATTTGCGTATCTTAAATCGACTCCCCGCTGTAGTGTAGATGTACCCTCAGGGACGCAAACAGGGGTGGGGTTTGCTTACCCTTGTAACAAAGAATTTCCTCATGGCATGCTGGTTGACATAAGAATTTGGGAAGGGAGTAGACTCAGAAGTCACAGATGGGGACTCCTTGCCTCCACTTGGGTTGAACTCTGGACCTTTTCCATCGCCAGCTTTTCTTTCGCCCGTCTCTTCCATTTGCTCCACCATCTGGAAGTCTTGGTTGTGCTCACTGTTAGACATTTCAGCTGCCTAAAAATCAAGCAAGACAGAACAACCAGAACGTCTGAATGAAATGCAAGCGCACGCCAACTGGGCAAAACCAAATGAATGCTTAAACCCTCCATGCTTTTCCATATCTATGGCCTTCAAAATATCATTCAGCTGCATTAGTAAATGGCATTAACATCACCTTCCTCGTTTGTAGCAACTTTCATCCAAAGATCTCAAAGTGCTCTGTAAATATGAGGTAGGTCTCATAACCCTCCCTTTGAGGAGAGTACATGTTATCCCCATTTCAAACACAGAAAGATGACCTAGGCCACCCACTTCCGCTCAAGACGTGCCAAGACCATCGTCCAAACCTTCTTGTGAAAGAATGGACTCACAGCGGCAGCACCTCCTTATGGCCAGACCTGGTGTAGCAGCTATACCTCTCTAGCACCCCCTGCTGATGGTGGGTCTGGTTCTGCGGTGGTCTATCTTCTTGTAACTTGGCCCTCTGGTCAGGTGACAATTTGTTCTCACCATTCTGGGATCATAAAGTCCAAAAGTCCTAAGCACACGGTCTTCAGCCTCAACTCCAGACCCTGTTGTCCTCACACCCTTTTCTCAGGTCTCTGTCATTCTTGTCCCCTTCTCTGGACTCATGCCATCTTGCCGCTGGCTAGTAGGAGAACCCAGGCACAACCACTCTTCTGGGCTCCAGCCCAGGGATCCTATAACCAGCAGCCAAAGACCGCCCTATCCAGTACCCTGGACTTTTTCCTACTCAGCATCTCTCAGGTCTTCTCCCCGCAAACCTGCCAAGGTTAACCCTTCTCTCAGGAGCCTGGACTCACAGGACTTTCCCTTGGAATCCCGTAACAAGCTCCCAAACTGCCAGCGATAAACCCACTTCCGCCCTCCTTGGACTTGACATTACATCCCTCTCAATAGCCTCCCCGGCCTCTCTCCATGGAGGTCATGGAATCATTGGGTTAGAAGGGACCAGAAAGGTCATCTAACCGCAGGTCCAGTTCCTGCCCTTGGTCAGAGCTTCCCACCAGAGCCTGTTCCCCTCTGGTGACTGCTCTGTAGCACTCCAGGACGCTTGCCAGACTTCCCTGTTCCAGAGAAGATCCCAGTGCCAGCTCACCCCAACCTCTCTAGTTCCAGAAAGTGACTGCAGCATTCCTCGCTCGCTACCTACAGCCCCCTTCTAGTCTAAAAAACTCCCTCTGTATACAGTCCTCTCCTAGCCCCTCCCCAGCTGCACTTCCTCATCCTGAAGCCAGGCCTACCCTCCAGGTGAAGCCTGGTATGCTCCCTGGTCTCCGTCTCTGGCCCACATTAGCCCTTTCCTTGCCTGCATGGGGCATACACCCCCTGTAGCGGGGTAGACACCCGCTCCTGCCCTGAGGAACTTAAAGTCATCCCTGGGAGAGGGCTGAGAGAAAAGCTGGGCTGATTGGGAGGCAGCCTCAGCTGGAGGACACACCCCAAACAGACCCAGCTGGCCCTATAAAGGTCAGGGCAGCCAGGAGTTCAGAGGCTCTCTCTCGTCTGAGAGGGAGCAGGGCCTGGCTGCCTAGCAGAAAGGGTACTAGGAGTGAAGGAGGGATGGGGAAAGCCAGAGGAGCAGGGGAGCTCCTGGCTGGCAACTCCCCAGGCTGCAAGGCCTGGATTAAGGCCTAAAAGGGTACTGGGTGGTAGAGGAAGGCAGCAAGTCCGAACCCCCTTGCCTGTGATGAGTGGCTTATACTGCAGTCTGCCCCAGGGAGTGGGGCTAGATGGTGACTGGCAGTAGCCCAGACTGAGGCGAGGTGGGGTTAGTGGGTGGAGGTTCCCCTGAGTGGGGAGACCCAGAACCTGAGAGTGTGGGGGTATTACCAGGGGGGCAGCAACCCAGAGAAAGGGGCACCGGGGTCCAGGAGGGACACGGGGGCCCAGCAGTAACGGATCACCGGCTGACAGAGGGCGCTCCAGAGGGCTGGTGAGCTAATTCCCACGGACAACCAGCAGGAGGCGCCGCCGGGTGAGTCTACGCCTGCTTACACCCCCTCACACTCCTGAAATCTTCGAAGGTTAGAATAACGCCGGACCCCGTTCCAAAACAAATCTAGTTTTGATTTTATAGGGGAAAACCTGGCCTGCCGAACCCGAAGCCCACATGAGAAGTTCTGCAAACACAAAATCCCCGGTCTCTCCCACCACACAAAAATCAATGTTATGTTGTCTCTATTTATTTACTTAGGTCCTTTTTTGATGACAACATACAGGACTTCCCAATCATCCCCCTTTCTAGAGAGTATGTTCCAGGGGGTCAGCATTTGCAAGGGAATAAATGAGGAACGCAGGCCACATTCAGCAGGCAGTGTCCAGCAAATGGCATAGCTGCATGAAAGCCAACCTCAGGCATAGAAAAGGCAAGCAGCAATTTGCACCAGTTGGTAGCAATTAACATACAATATGTGGAAAATCCCAGGACGAACACTCAGATTTTGTTCCCGTTTATTTCTGTGGTATCTCCTGCAGTCCTTAGCATGGACACTTGTTTACCCCAATGATTCACTGAATGGGCATCGTTTCAAGCACTTGTCAGAGCTATAATCCAGGGTCTTGGACTCCTCTGATCAGAGGATAGGAATGCAGTCACTGCATCTTGATCTGGGCAATGCCAAACCTGTTCTGTGTTCATTTCACTTAGCAGGTGTGTGACTAGGAACAGGAGACCCTTGTGGGACCTTTTAGGGTTGGGTTGCCAAACAAAGTGAAGTTTGCAAACTTGTTTTTCCTGCCTCTAAACCAAATGCTCCTCCCAAAGGTGAGTCAATTTAAGAAGAAAAACCTTTCTTCCTACAGGGAGGACTCGGATATGTATTAAGGACAGAAGAACACACACAAAGGCTAGATGAGCAAGAAGGGGTGCCCTGTCTATGGTTAGAGATACGTTATTTTTTTCCATTAGCATCGTCTCTTTTCTAAGTTTTTTTCCCCGCGTTTCACGGTTATCATTTTTTATTCTGCTCACTTATTCATCCACTTTGCATGCTGATCTCAGCCACCCTGCTCCTGTTTTTCTGTCTCCCCCAGCAGAACTCAAATCTAACAGCAGAGATAGTTGGGTTTTTTTCAACAAAATGCTGTTTTTGTTGGAAAATGCTGATTCTTCAATACAAAAGAGAGAGAGAGAGAGAGAGAGAGAGAGCGCGAGCGCACACCTCCACACCTGAGCACTCACCTCAGAGGTGGGACACCTGGGCTCAACTGCCTACTGTATCTGATTTTCTCGGGGTGGATGTGATTTCTGGCTCTGGTGTTTGTCAAAAAGCTTCGACCAGCCCCATGCAGAATGGGAAAAATTTCCAGAAAACCTCAACAATTTTTTCCCGAGACAGAAAAACTATTTCCCACCAACCCTCCCTGTCAGCGTTTGAGTTCAAAGCCATGTTTCAGCCTGTTCAAAATTAGGCAAAACAAATTGGCCAAGTCTCGAGCGAGTACTGTATTGTGCTTTGCAAAACACAGAATTGACACAGCTCTGTCCCCTGGGGGAGCTTGCCAGCTGAATGGGACAGAGATAGAAAGAGTTAAAGGATGAGGGCAGGAGCAAATAAAGTGATAGAGCTGATGGGGGTAGGACCCTAAATAAAACTTGTGTGTGTGGTTAGTTTATTGCTGGATAGAAGGCTGGTAACTATGGGTGGTGGCTCGTGGCATCTCTGCCTGTGAAGTTTATTCCTGGAGTACACGGTAAAAGTCACCCAGTGCTGACAACAGGTGTTAGCAAGGGGTCCTGAATGTGGTTCAACTTGAAAAAGATGATTGAGGGGGTGACTGCGTTACGGTGTCTAAGTACCATCCTGGGGAGAGAACAGCAGGTACTAACGGGCTCTTCAATCTACCAGAGAAAGACAGAACACCAACCAGCGGCTGGACGCTGACACCAGACAAATGCAATTTAGAATTTAGGCCAGTGAGGGTGGTTAGCCACTGGAACAAACTTCTACGGGTTGTGGTGGATTCTCCATCTCTTGGTGGCTTCAACTCAAACCTGGCCGGCCTTGCTGGAAGAGATGCTTTAGTCAAACCCAAGTGTGCCGGGGTACATCACCTCTGCACCAGCATGGAAGGGTTAAGGAGCAGCGTGGGGCCAGGATGGCCCTGCCCCTCTGCACTTGCAAATCTGGAGAAAGCATGAAAAGGAGACCTGGGCCACCCTGGGGAGGGGCCAGACTCTTGAGTCTCTCCAGCCCTGAAGAGAGGGCTGGCAGCCTGCCGAGGCCCTGCCCTCGCAGAAGGAGGGTGCAGGACCCGGAGCAGAAGGGGAAAGAGGACTCGGGCAGTGGACTCGGGCATAGACAGTGACACTCTGAGGGCGCTCTGGAGTCAGAGGGGCCCATATCCCAGAGGAAGCTGCTGACAGGTTTTTCTTTTCCTTTCTTTGGTTGAGCCACATTTGCTAACTGCGGGCAGTTTTGTGGTTTCACCTGGGACCCCGAGAGGGGCCGTGGCTCCAGAGGCCTCGGCCAGAAGGTCGAGCGCCAGCCCTCTAGAAAGACGCCCCATAACACCTGCTAGGATGGGGGTAATTGGACTCGTGGATGAGCTCCGCGTGTGGCTCCTAGAGGGGGCGCTCTACCATGGACAGATTCGTGACCCCAAGTTCCAGGGTAACTGGGTGGCAGGTCAGAGTAGAAGACCTGATGGTCCCTTCTGGGCTTAACCTCTGCAACTCTCTGTGCAGCCTGGGTGCAGACGCTAAGGTTACACCCCAGATTCTGAACTCGGCTGGTCCTTGGTATTGCACTTGCAATTAGCTTGCACTCAGCTGCGCCCAGAGACGATGCACACTCTCAGCAACTGGCCATCTCCGCGCTGTTGACCAGGCTGCAGTGCAGATCCCACACAAACGAAGGGCTCGCTGGCTTTTTACACCATCAAGAGGAAACACGGAAAACAAGCTACCTTTTCAGTGCACCGTAACTGACGCTAAAAACTGCCCTCAAGGAGCCTGATTCTTTGCTGGGACGCAGCCCTACAGCTCTGGT